CTAACCGTGTTATCATTAAAAATAACACTGGTCAACAGTGGTTTTGGTGCCAAGGAACTGTATATATTTTTTGATTAAGGACTTTATACTGGTTGCTTTAGTAGCAAATTTGTTGATTTCCTACGTGTGGTTTTCTAGATTTTGACGTGTATAGAAAAATACAAAATTTCACCAAAATCAGCGTTTATAATATTTTGAAGTGCTTAAAAACTTTCTTTTCCACGACTTTTGTGAATGAGGTGTAATGGAACTATCACGTTACATCCTCCAGCAGTAATCAGCCATCATATAACTATCCCATCTGCCTTGGTACCTCTCTTCCAATGGTTTTTAGGTCTTGATAGCATCGCTCTCCCTGTTCTTAGCTATAGCATGCTATAGTGACCCAAGATTCTTTGGGAATTGATCAAGATGACTGTGGAGGTAGTGCCCTTTGATTTAAATTATTTTATCCTGAGTTTTTAGGGCATGTCTCACAATTTCATAGTAGCTACTAGTCCTGTGATTTCCGAAAAAAATTTTAGTAACTTCAACGAACGAAGTCCACGTAAATCGTTCCAAACGTCCATCAAAGTTAAGAAATCAGTATCTTTTATTAATATTCTTATTTGTGGGCCATCAAAAATTTACTGCTTTAACCTTTTTTTATGCTCAAACCAGGATTTTTTTTTGTTTTTTCCTCACTTTTTCCACTCTGAACTTCATGTTATGGCTTCTTTGACCATTGAAACATTGCCTCAGTGTTCACAGCAGATTATACAAACAATTTCGGGTATCCACGGCTTGAATACAACCACAATTTCCGACTTAAAGTAAGAAAAATAAGCACTTTTTATTAAAATTTTGTCTAAATTTTTGAAATTCTTAACTGTGTACACATCACAAATGTAACAAATTACATTTGGATCGTTGACTCAACTTCTGGGCAATGCAGACATGATATTAAAATAAATTTCGTTATAAAAATATACCGATAACATTACAAACTGTGCAACCAAAGTACCGATTAAAGCTAAAATTTAAAACTGAGGGTAGATCAAAAACTACACGTAGGAAAAAAAAAAGAAAAATATTTTTATTATTACTAATACACACCTAATAATAAACTATCAACAGAATCTCGGCACCATTTTAATTTTGATTTTTTGTTGACCAGTGTAATTCATACACGACCAGTCCTAGACTAAAATCAAAATAAAACATACTCTAATAAAAAAAAATCATCATCAAAATTCAAATTCAAAATTTAGATAAAATCAAAATTTAATCAAAATCAAAATTTAAAATTTAATCAAAATGTAAATTTTTATTAAAATTAAAATTCAATCAGAACCAAAATTTAATTAAAATCAAATCAAATCAAAATTAAAAACAGGAAGAAATCAGAAAGTTTAGTACTTGCACACAAACTTTAGATAGGTACTGCTCATAAAAGCCTATCAGTTTTCTGAGAGCGACAACTGATAAAAATTTAATTGAATCAAGAATATTGTTGAACTACCCCATACTATATTGGCATGTCTACAACAGAATCAGTTTTTTTTTTATAATTCTAGATCAGAATAAAGAAAAGGAAATGTCAAATCTAATATTAGCAATCCTAGTAGTCCTAAATACAAACTACTAACTTATTTTAAAATACTAACGATTTTAAACTCAATATCAATCATCAAGAATTAACCGAGTGTAATAACAATGTCCATAATTTTGAGAATACTCATGTATTTTCATTTTTATATTGCTTCTATGCAAATTCATTACAACAACTAGAATTCAATTGGATTGGAACACTACAACAAACTTGAAAATATGGCATAATTAGAAACAATCTGACAGCATTAGAAATGTTCTAAAATTGCATCTTTTCGGTGCATAATACCAGACATTCAGTGATTTGATTATTATCAAATTAAGTGTAGTCAACTTTATTGCGAGTAATTTGTTAAAAAGTTACAGTCAGAAACAAGTGTAAAATCGTAGCTAGCAAAAAATATCGAAAATGTTTATGGGTTAAGTAGGTAGGTAGGTACTTAACGATTGAATTCCTCCACATGAGACCCCACAGCTCAAGTACTTCACTTTAGATTTTTTTAAACGATCCCTTTTTTATTGATTTTTAGTTTCAAAGCTTTAGTGTTTCAAACAAGGTCTCCTTACAAAAAATCCCTTGTTCGATGGATTCCATAAGAAGTATGACATCATTATGTCAGCATAATTATTATAAAATGGAATGTAGTTACTTACATTTCTTAGAGATTTGTAAAAATACAGAAAGTGAACTTCTCAAAGGATTGGAAACTGTATTGCGATTTTCATTAAATTCATAATAGCCAATATACAGGCAAACAGTAGGTACACGTTTAGTAATGACGTCTAATGTGACACCAAAATATTTCATACGCTGCCCATATTTTTTTTGCATAAGGTGTTAAAATGCATCACAAAAAATATTCGCTAGATGACAGTTCACAGTACCATTAGCGTATTACTTTTGCGTTGACACTAAAACATGCCTTTCCTTGAATCTAACAGTATGAAAAATCTAATGTAAGGCGTACTGAATTTATACGTGCACTGTGACTTCAGCAAATCAATATTAACACCCTCAGATCATAGAAGATCTGAGTTAACACCTAACATGTCTGTGGATGCTACTGTCCACGAAAGTGTTAAATCCGTCTTTCTTTTCATTATTAGTGTGGCAAATAACAAATGTATAGCTAGATAGAACTGAACTGAATGAACAATTTCTTTATTTAAACTAGCAATAAAACAACATTGGTGGTTGTTCACCCTTTAAGCATTAGGAGAGCGCCTCTTCAGGGGACACATGAATCACAATTCTATTTGAGATTAGGTATCTCATTTTTGACGATAAAACACAAATTCATTCACCGCTCCACCACACCAGCGCTTTTAGATTGGAATTGGATAAAACCAAAAATTTGGAAGGTGGAAAAGTAGTCCTTTTAATAGTTTATAACTTTCAGTGGTAGTACCAAGAATTACTGGTATCATCATTATTCTTTAAATAAGTCAGATTAAATTATCTATGGCCGATCCAAAAAGATTCAGTTTAGTGAAAATATCAACTTTAAATTTTACCATTACTTAGAATACTTGTCTATTCTAAAGTAGGATTTTTTTTATTAATCAATTTTATCCTTCATGTATTTTTGACACAGTATACATCTTTATTTAAATTTCATAGTATATCATTCTGTTTCATTAACTTTAGCACGATCAGATGGTGTGCCTACTTCACACAAATTAACCATTCGTCATTTTTTTAACATTTTTCGAGTTTACAACAGCCGGTGCAACTCGAGCAAAGTCAAGCAAAAAGTGGTAATAATTATTTTATAATTGCTTAACCACGTATCGTGTCAAAGCATATTATTGAGTTACAATCTAAATCTTACGAACCATCTAAATGTACTTAAAATTACGATCAATAAATAATGAGTTACCACCACATAGTACTTATTTTCAGGAATCACACGAAAATCACAAAACAACGTATCAAATCAACAATCGATCACATAAAAAAACACAACTGGCATAAAGAGACAACCCGGGATGGTTGTTCGCATTATGGTAATGTGTAACGATGATCTTCTGTTGAACCGCTTGAACGACGTTCAGCACCCCATATCTTCTGCTCCAATTTATTTATTTTCTTCAGCAAATGTTCCTTATCCTCATTTGACGTTTTTCGTTCGGCATTTTGACGACACAAAAACACTATTTTTAACACTGGGTACGTATTTAAGTAGAAGAAGTGCGAACTGGCAGAGCACTGAATCGTGACTGACGACGGATACCAATGTCAAATAAGATGTAAAGTGAGATACCCACAAAAAAAAAAAAAATATATCCTCAACTAACAGTGCGTAAACTGGCATCACCGTACGTGATACTACATAGTTCTTATTTCTAATCTCGAGGACAAAGCACGAGCATAATTACTACTAGCGGCCGCCCTCGACTTCGCACGAGTAAATCCCGTGTTACCCCCTTAGGGGTCGAATTTTGCAAAATCCCGTCTTAATGAGCACCTACGTTCTAGAAGAAACTCCCGTGCAAAATTTGAGACTCCTAGCACTAGAGTGAAATTCCAACTTCCCCATAAGAATTCCTGCTTAGCCTAGTAGTTTGTTTACTATGCTAAAACAAGGATTAAAACCTTGGCGCCTGATTAAAAGTTAGTTCGTCTAACTTTTAATAAACACACTGTTGTGTGATTATTCTCAGTAGGATATGTCGTGCCCCTTTTGAACAACAAAAGATTGACTTCAGAATGTTGAATAATCGTCGTGCCAGTTCCATGAGGAATAAATTTTATCCCCCCTTGTACCTTTAAAAAACCGTGTAGCCGGGCGAAGATATGTATAGACCTTTATGGTATGGTGCATTCACATTAACGGCGATCGATCCAGTGCAGAGCGTGCGATATTTGATTTAGACACGGACATGTGTGAAATGTGAATCATCTGGATCTGTCCTGTCCAGTGTACAGAGAACAATCAATAATCATAGTATAATAATGAGTACTCCACAACTATTTACTTCATCATCATCAACAGCCCTTTATAGTCCACTGCTGAAGTATTGAGCTTCCTCCACTATAGTGGAGGGTTATAATCCCATAATCGCCACGCTTGCCAGGCGGGTTGGAGATCGCAGTTTAAAATATTAATGTTTATCAGAGAGCGCTGAGCGCTACTGCCCGTTCTCTTTTTAATGTGTATTCCCGAAGCCTCTTACGACACCCGTGGGAAAAGTAGGGGTTGGTGACAAATGTATTCTACTCTGCCGTCACCACACGGCATTCAATTATTTACTTAAGCACCTAACATGTTTTGCACCGAATAGCTATGTGAATATACGTTTCTACTAGGAGGATCGGTAAATCACCTCATAGTTACGTTGGCCTGACCATGATGTTGGATTATTAATATAAAATAAGTAACAAAAATCACGAAAGGAAACAACACAAATACAATTCAAATCTTTTATTTCTCTTAACCATAAAGACTATAAAATATCACTTTTTAAGTAAATCTTCCAATATCTTTGTAGCCTGCGCCATGTCGATTTTGTTCTGAGAATTCTTTGCTAACATCCCTAATAATGCTTTGAAAACTTTGGTCTTCCCATCTCTGTACTGTTTCACTAGTTTTGGATTGTTTTCTATAATATCTTTACATAGTTTACTTATATTCTCCGTGTCAGTAACTAAAGCCCATCCTTCCTTTTTGATCAAATCTGAAGGCGACAAATCGTTGTCTGCGTCAACAACAAGGGCGTCTAATACTTTTCTAAACACATCTAAATTGATTTCTTTGTTGAACAACAGGTCTACTAGCTCGCTCATTTGTTTGTTTGTTATAGGACAGTCTTCTACATCAAGTTTATTTTTGTTTAGAACAGTTAAAAGGTCGTTCAGAAGAAGGTTGGCCACTTTGTTGGGGTTTCTAGCATTTGTTGTAAGTTCTTTAAAGTATTCTAGTAGTACTGGCTCGTTGACGAGTTGAACAGTTGTTTCTGGCCTGAGTTGGAAGTCCTCTGTGAGTCTCCTGCGGGTCTCTTCGGGTAGTTCTGGGATCCTGTCTTGGATGAGGGGCACGCTGATGACGTCACGGGCGTCTTCTTTGGACCGCAGGTTGACTCGGAGCGGTGGGAGGTTCGGCTCAGGCATAAATCTGGAGTGAAGAAAAATACCGATTGTTTAAATATTACTCTAAACATAATAATCACATCTGCTTCTGTTTCGCGCTTTTTTAGATTTGAACTGGAGGAAAACAATTTTTATTTATTTATAGAAACCAAAAATAATATTTTTATTGTTACAATAACCGATTATTCTTGCAAATAAGTTTACCACCCATTTTGCAATATTTATGTAATAAACACGAAATCTATTTTAATTAAACTAATATAATATGCATCGGAAACGGAAGTCAAAATACGGTACGCCACCTAGTGGCGTATGACAGAAGTGATCACTTTAAGTTGAACCATCGAGCTGAGAATACGTCCGCGTTCTAGAAAGTGTCCCGTGTTGTTTTATAAGACGTGGTTATAAAAGTTGTTTTGTGTTCAGATAATTAATGATTGGACTGCGCTTCGTATCCACTGTAGGTTCTGTCACTCGCCAATGGCGCCATCTAGTGAGTGCAAAATATTTGGTGTAATTTAGCTTGTCTCAGAGTCGAGCACCGTTTCGTTTACAGACGTCGATCGGTATTTGATTTCATTGTGCGGATGCGATAGGACTGACTGCTACAAGAAGCTACTGTGTCGCCATCTAGCGCACCACACGCGTATTTTTTCTTCTTTCCATAGCGAATTTTTTTTTTACAATCAGTAAGGAATACGCGCGCACGTCACTTACTACTCTCTCGGGATTCCCCCTTCGTGGATTAAACTAGCTGGCGGACACGCCGCGTGTTTTCGTTTTCGATGCCTACTCGGGGAATTGAACAGTCTGGTAGGTCTACGAACGCACCTGTAGTCCTGAACGACTTCCTTGTCCCGCATAGCCACGGTGACCTTGTTGACGGCGTCCCACGCTCGTGTCTGGTTCACTATCGTCCCGCCCGCGTCCAGTATCCCGCGATACCTCTCTATCATGGCAGTTCCCGATCCGGAATCAGTAGATCACATTCTATCGCTCAGTCACCTAAGGTACACTATAAAATACAAGGCACAAACGCACCTGTAGTCCTGAACGACTTCCTTGTCCCGCCTAGCCACGCCACGGTGACCTTGTTGACGGCGTCCCACGCTCGTGTCTGGTTCACGATCGTCCCGCCCGCGTCCAGTATCCCGCGATACCTCTCTATCATGGCAGTTCCCGATCCGGAATCAGTAGATCACATTCTATCGCTCAGTCACCTAAGGTACACTATAAAATACAAGGTACAAACGCACCTGTAGTCCTGAACGACTTCCTTGTCCCGCATAGCCACGGTGACCTTGTTGACGGCGTCCCACGCTCGTGTCTGGTTCACGATCGTCCCGCCCGCGTCCAGTATTCCGCGCTGCCGCTCGATCTCGTGTCGGATCGCCACCGCCACGCCACGCACCGAGCCGATGTTCTTTATCTGGAATAAAAGTACGTTGATATGACACAAATGCCACAAGACAAGACAACAAAGTCCAAGTGCATGGTCGTGAACGAGATATGTGTGTGTGGACTGGATCATTTAACACAACACTTGATTTTGCCAAACATAATCATGGGGCAGTATAGAATTGTGGTCAGGTGTCTATATAAATTTCTTTACTGTTTTTAACTTGATAGTTTAAGCAAAATTCGTTAATGCTGTGGATAACCTTTTTGGCCTAATTAGTTTAAGAAAAATATTTGATTTAAGTCTATTATATGTGTCGGCTGTTATTATTCCAAATAAATAAAATAAAAAAAAATAAAAAAATAAAAATAAAAAAGACTTGGCGAAAGCATTTTGGATGAATGGATCATGCCGGAATTTCAAGGTAATAAAGTTTGCTTAGAAGTTAATATCATATTGTTTGGTTATCAATATCCTACTCAGTAGTCGTCAGGGATACCCAGTCAAGGATACTATATCAGGATACCATAGACAAGAAGAACGATGAGCACCAACTCTTGGACTAGTGCTGACTATGCAACTCTGACTTCACCAAGTATAAAAGTAGAAACTAACCTCGATCCTGGTCAACAGTGGCGCCTCGTATCTCTGCAGTGACGAATGGCGCCAACTCACAAGACCTTAATACTTCCAACCGGAGCAAATCCCAAGCCTCTGGACGATATGAGCCAGCTTTTTTTCTAGTGCTGACTATGCAACTTTGACTTCACCAAGTATACACCAACCTCGGTCTTGGTCGACAACGGCGCCTCGTATCTCTGTAGTGACGAATGACGCCAACTCACAAGACCTTAAAACTTCCAACCGGAGCAAATCCCAAGCCTCTGGACGATATGAGCCAGTTCTTTTTCTAGTACTGATTATGAAACTTACTTAAGTGGACACTAACCTCGGTCCTGGTCGACAGTGGCGCCCCGGGCCTGCGCAGCGACACGTTGGCGTCAACTCGCAAGGCGCCCTCCTCCATGCGGCCCGAGCAAGCCCCAAGCCTCTGGACGATGAGCACCAGCTGTTTGACTAGTGCTCACTACACATCTCTCACTTCACCAAGTATACAAGTAGACACTAACCTCGGTCCTGGTCGACAATGGCGCCTCGTATCTCTGCACTCTGCAGTGACTAATGGCGCCCACTCACAAGACCTTAAAACTTCCAACCGAAGCATATCCCAAGCCTCTGCTGGACGATATGAATCAGCTCTTTGTCTAGTGCTGAGGCTGACTATGAAACTTACATAAGTAGACACTAACCTCGGTCCTGGTCGACAGTGGCGCGCCGGGCCTGCGCAGCGACACGTTGGCGTCAACTCGCAAGGCGCCCTCCTCCATGCGGCCCGAGCAAGCCCCAAGCCTCTGGACGATGAGCACCAGCTCTTTAACTAATGCTGACTATGCAACTCTGACTTCACCAAGTATACAAGTAGACACTAACCTCGATCCTGGTCGACAATGGCGCCTCGTATCTCTGCAGTGACGAATGGCGCCAACTCACAAGACCTTAATACTTCCAACCGGAGAAAATCCCAAGCCTCTGGACGATATGAATCAGCTCTTTGTCTAGTACTGAGGCCTGAAGCTGATTATGAAACTTACTTAAGTGGACACTAACCTCGGTTCTGGTCGACAATGGCGCCTCGTATCTCTTCACTCTGCAGTGACGAATGGCGCCAACTCACAAGACCTTAAAACTTCCAACCGGAGCAAATCCCAAGCCTCTGGACGATATGAATCAGCTCTTTGTCTAGTACTGAGGCCTGAAGCTGATTATGAAACTTACTTAAGTGGACACTAACCTCGGTCCTGGTCGACAGTGGCGCCCCAGGCCTGCGCAGCGACACGTTGGCGTCAACTCGCAAGGCGCCCTCCTCCATGCGGCCCGAGCAAGCCCCAAGCCTCTGGACGATGAGCACCAGCTCTTTGACCAACGCTGCCGCTTCTTCTCCATCCTGGAATAAGTTTTGGTAAGTGTTTGAGCAAAATTGAACTCTATTTTGCACACTAAGGGTTGGGAATCTTTATGGCAAGCTTGTGAATAGTACTAACTAGGCAGACCTTCTAATATCATGTTTTAAAAGATTGATAATCAGATCAGGTGTTAAGTAGTATTTAACTCCATATTTGATGATGATTCGACTCTTAAACTAATATAGACCTTTAACACAATCTGAGACTAGAAGATAGACATTTGATAAACACAAATGTTTGCACAAATGTTGCACAAACTGAATTGATAAAATATTTCATAGAAATACCACTTGACTGATAAACATTTATCTAACTAGGTCATATTTTATTGATTCTGATGATTGAATCCCTTTTCTGCAACCTGTATAATATACAATGTGTGTTAAACAGTATCATTTGACAGTTCATAATGTACGATAAAGTCAGTTAAACAAAACGTTTGACAGAATAATCGCACGTTATGAACTGTCAAATGATTACGATTGCTTTACACAATTCCACCTCAGGTTATATAACACTGTTGAAATAAAATTGATGTTTAATGGGTGCTTCTCATAAATATACTCCAGTGGCAGTAGCCCTGTGGCAAAGTTCCCCAATAAATTAACACACACAAGTTAAGCTCACTCACCTTCGTGAGTTGCAAGAACTATAATGTAATGTAATTTCACAGAGTTTAAAATACTCACTTCTAAGTCAGGCTCGAATACAAGTTCAATAAGCGGTGCGCCAGCTCTGTTCAGGTCTACGAGACTGCGTTTAAGCTCAACGTCATGAAGTGACTTGCCGCTGTCCTGCTCGAGTTGAATTTGCTTGATCTTTGAACTCTTCTTGTATGGCTTCTTATGGACTCCAGGTGTAAATACCTGAGGACAAAGGAAATACAATATTAGCACTAAAATTTAATTACATCTGATTGCAGAGGGTCACTCTTAAAGTATTTAGATGGTAATCTGAGCACATAGCTATGTCATTAATATGATGGTTGCATTCTAACATTTACAGTTTGTGATTGGTATTATCATGAAAACAATCAAATAACATGTCAGTCAAAATTGTACAGTATTCAAGTTAATACCTGAAAATTTATAACGCCATCGCTAGCCAAAGGTGCTCTTTGCTGAGTAATCTGATAACCAGAGGGCAGGTCGGCGTAGAAATAATGTTTTCTATCAAATGTAGACACTTCGTTAATCTTGCATGAGAGAGCCAACGCGGTCATCAACCCTAACTCCACGCATTTTCTGTTCAACACAGGCAATGTTCCCGGTATAGCCGCGTCAAATAACGACACACAATTGTTCACTAGCCCACCAAAAGTGTTCTCAGCACCAGAAAAGAGTTTAGATTCACTACTAAGCTGCGCATGGACTTCTAACCCCACAACACTTTGCCATTGTTTGTCTGCAGCAGTTGAATGACTGCATTTGCAAACCACTAAGTTTCTGTTACTGTATATTCGATTACACACTCGCGTAAATCTCATTTTTAATTCAATTTTTTCACTAAATACAAACAACAATCCATCCCATCATCAGCTGCTGTGATCAGCTGTTTTTGAGTTTACTGACAGTTGATTGACACTGACAGACACTTTTTTAAATTATTTGTTCGGAAACACCTAATCCTTCTGTGGGAAACACCTAATCCTTCTGTGGGAAACACCGAATAATATAAAAGTAAAAAATTGTTCAAGACCAAAATTGCTCTCATAAAATAAAATTATTCAAGAAATTGGTTTATTTTGAGATCTCTTAATTGATTACTAGTTATTTGATCAAATATCTATGTAGAAACATCTCAACCAGTGACCTTCTTTAATTGTTAATTCAAAGTTACGACAGATGGCGCCAACAGGTTGCCAAGCCCGCGAACCGGTTTAAAAAACTTTTGTTGGATTTTTTGGAAAGTTGGATTCATAGTTTTGTGTCGTCACATAAATAATTTGGTTACGTTGTGCTCATTTCACTTCTATGTTAACTAATACCTTAAACTAATTTAATAAGTTGTCAGAAACAGTTAAAAAGCTAAAATAATATTAATGAAACTTACCGTTTATTGATGAGAAGATACTTAACTTGGTAATTTGGTGGCTTTATGTTACTAAATTTTTAATAAATAATAAAATTATGTATATTTGCATTGACGTGTTGACTAAATTTATGCCTTAAAACTATTAATAAACTAAATAAAATATCACATTTTTGGAAATATTATAACATTTTTGGGTTTTACGCCACTAATCCAGTAACAACTTCGAAGAGGAACGAGAAAAGGTAGAGAACAACGAATGCCAGAGTGGCCTCAGCGATGGTATACATTTCAGTGCTTTTCTTTTAAAGAAACAAAAAGTTTAGAATGCGTTCCGGTTTTCCGCGGAAACCAATCGTGAGGGACGTACGTTCAATAGCGAGACTGCGCGCGTTATGACCGCGTTCTCTCGAAGGAGTTGCGGCAAGCCCCTCGTCTCGTAATATTACACGGACAATTAAAGTAACAACCAGTTTCTTGACAAAGTAATAGATACGCACAACATTTTATTACTGCCAGTGTTTAATGGAGGCAAAACAAAACACACCCACCGCATTGATATGCTAGTCTGCAGTACTTTGCTTGCTCGTGAATGATAAAAATGCAATAATTAAATTGACGTCACAATAAAGCTGTTTGATGCGGTAGTATCCGGATAAAGGTGGGTTAGTTAAATATAAGTATTTTTCGCTTCTTTAACTGTTCATAATTCTATAAATACCTATATTAGTTCCAAATATATACAAATTGCTTAAATCAGTAATAGTGAGTGTTTATTTATGTATAAACGTTTTTATTATTATTATTTATATTTTGTGCTTTTTCCACCTCAGCTTAAAAGCTGGAAAATTAAAGATCAGCTACGTTATTATTATTATTACTTATAACAACAGAACATAAATTAAACAAATAATACATAATACTTTAAGTACATAACTAAGCCTGAATAATAAAAATTGAAATGTTTACAAATTAACTAAGTAACCCAATAAACCATGATTTAAATAATTAAAATGGTGTTTTTCTGTCATTCATACATTGCACTTTTTATTCTGTCCTAAAAATACTCGTCGTTCAAATACTGAGCTAGCACCTACTTAAATACATAATTGAACAGTTGCAATGCAATGTATAACGTACAGCAAGGACATTATTTGTTTCCTTATTTCAGGAATCGCTTACGTTATTGAAACCGCAAAAATGTTACAGTACCTATTCTTCATCATCATCATGATCATTTCAGCCACAGGACATCCACTGCTGAACATAGCCAGTACTTGGGTCAATTTCCCAAACACATTTTTTGAGCGGCGTAGCTGAAAATCATATGTTTTTTATGACATAGAACTTTGATTTTTTTTTACACGAAAATATACAGAGGTTCCATTTTGAGGACAACATTATTAATGAGTATTTTCTTTTACAAATTCGACAAAAAATAATTGAACTAAGCGTTTCTAATTTTGGTGCAGTGTCCACATCCTTAATTTCTTACAATATGTATTTTTTTAGCTGAAGATGAAAACAGAACTTAGGGAAAAAGTATATTTTTGGATTATACAATCTATCTATTATCTAAGATTACCAAATTAAGCAAGTTTCCCAATTAACTGTGATTAAGTCACGTCCTTAAGTTTTGTCCGCGAAAAATTTATGATTTTGGTGTCAATAATGAAATAGCTCGTCAGTTTCTTTAAAGATCAAACAGGATTTAAACACTCCCATCATTCGTTAGGTTTAGTACCGCCCCCGCGAGCAGTGACGGCAGACGGGTGCAAGACCTCTGCGTCTTCCCGCCAAAAACGTAAATGTGTTGTTTTTTTTTAAACGGACAACAATTCTGCAATTTTGGTGTCTTTTTGTATAAGATTTCTAAGCTATTCTTTTTAGTTGAATTCCTCGTATAATGTAAAGGAACTGTTTTCATACCATGTGTTAAAATGTTATTGTTATATTTAAAACAGATTTCATATAATTTAGCTTTTTCAACGAGAATCTAATTTTGGTGAGTCAATTTTGGTGTTTTTGGTGGTGCACCAAAGCATTTTTAACCGACTTAACTCCGTCAATTGTGAACCGATTTTCAAAATTCTTTTTTTGTTCTATAGGGTACACTTATGTGGTGGTCCCATTGTCACCAAGTCAGGATCTGATGATGGGATCCTAGGGAAATCGAGAGTAAACCTCAAATTTTGTAGGAATGCAATACGTTTTCTAAAGTTATTCAAGTAGTCATCATCTAATGTTGATGAGGTGATGATGGAAGGTAAAACTCCTTAACGCTTAGGAGTTGGAGGATAATTCTTTAAATATTTTAGGTAGGTATGTACATACAGTTGTATTATTTCAGGTATTTAAGATGAGCTGATGATGAAAGGTCAAACAACATAAGTTAGGAGTTAGATGATACTCAATACTCATTTGTTGATACATACATTGACACATGATACATTGATACTTTTTAGTTGCCGATATTTAAAGTAGGGAGCCTGTATTTTGCTAGGAAGATTATTTACACTTGGATTGTGATTAAGACTATAATTTTCCATTACAAAATGGAAAATTATAGTCTTAATCACATTAAACATAGGTACTGTCCCTCTTCAGTGACAATAACAAGGACTAATCAACTAAAAAGCATGAAAAAAAATAATTTTAACAAAAAAATTAAAACCGACGCCAACAATCACTTAAAAGTAGAAAATAAGTACGTCGTTATTTATTTATTAGGACAATATACCATGATTAATATTTTTGGAGTCGGTGCTGGTAAATTTAAAACCATTTCTTGAGCTTGGCACTAAGATATGACCGACTGACAGCATATTTTCTAATTTTGGTGCTTTAATATAAATTTTGGTGTTCTCTTAATTTTGGTGTAAGGAAAATCTAAAAAACTACTGGACAAAATTTAATGTCTTAATCATTTTAGAAACAGTATAAGTTTCCAATAAATTTGATCTATAATTAGAGAATAAAAATACACAAATAACAATTTCCACCAAAATTAGGCAAAAATATGCACTTGTTGAAATTCACCCACTTACACTTAGCCGATGTTAATCATCGGTTAAAGTACAGTTCCCTATCTATGTACCAGTTTATTTGTTACTAAATTTATCGTTTTATCGAAATTAGATAAGACTGTTTTTACGAAAAATGCATCCTGGCTACTACATAACTTTACGTAGTAAAATGGTATCAAAAAGAATCAGTTTATTATAGCTCTTCTATCACTGCTTTTTAACTCCAAGGCAGAAACCAGTCAGTACTTAGTTACCTACCTAATGCATCCAAAGTTTACCTAAACTACAAAACTTTTGTAGTAGTAATGTTATAAATAGTGACTTGAGTTTCTTACGCTGCTTCTCAGTCTCAGCACTGGCCCATTTATTGTCCCGAAGCAGTGGTAGGGTTAATACTGGGAGACGGGACGTAAAGATAGAGCTTTTTAAAAGCCTACTTGCAAAAATAAAATGAGTTTCAATGCTATTTACTGTTACCTGTTGTAGGTATTTATTTGGGACAATATTATTGCTTGAATTGTAGAGCACATTGCTATTCAAGTAATAACCTTTGACTCTCCCAAATGTTAATTTCTCGTTGTTTGTAAATGTGTTGCTATGAATAATCAACGATTACCAAATACTCGTTTAAATGTCCGATGATAAATACATTTATTTGAGTTTAATACAAAGCCGTTTATCAAGCCAGTATTCATTAAAATAAATAACCTAGCTTTTAGGGTACAAAGTACGGGCTTCTTTGTTCAAATTGGTTCTGTGTTGTTAAGCGTAAACAACAAAACTATCTTTCGATGGAACCCATTTTAAGTGTCATGCATTATTAGAGTAGGTCACCTTTATTTAGAGTAGGCGCACACCGTTGATTTTTCGTCGGCCGATAGTTTAGTCGGGCAGTTGATCAGTATGGGCATTGGGCGCATTATGGGAGTGCGCACACTACGCCCGTTTCGATTTGGCCGATTCTTCATACAAAATAAAATCGGGCCCAACTATCGGCCAACTAAAAATCAACGGTGTGCGCCTACTCTTAAAGTGACAAACTAAGTATGTATTATATTTTTATAATAAACATTTAAATAATGTATGTTTCACAAATAAGTAGAATAAGTAGTAGTAGTACCTAGTGAGTTTAAACAGCACATCAAATGTAGGTACTTGTTGAAAAATGCTCTTAAATGTTGCTGCATTTACATACCTCACATAATAAATGAAAAGTTCAATACCATGACGGGACTTTGAACCCGAGTTTCCTTATCGAATGGTTAAATATCAACGGGCGTTTGAACCATCGACTGACAGTTATAGACAATACGACTTTCGAATTAGTGATCGTTTCGCTATAAGGGAGATATCCCTATTATCTATTTTATGAACAAAACTCTATGCGACTATATTAAAATTTATGTAATCAACTAGCATCATAAAAAAGTTGTAAATTAGTTCCAGTCATCTAACTAAAGAGTACCTATGCAGAAATATGCATTTTCCAGTCGGAAAAAATATAAGTACCTACCTACTAAATGCATAACACTCCCGCCCTTGGTTAGTCTCCTAGAATATAATATTTGTGCGGTACAATCAAGTCTAAAAGGAAGTTAATTAAATTGTATAACATTTTATTATTTCCTAATTAACTAAAGATCAAAATCTGAAAGTTAAAAAGGATGCGCTTTACACAATACGAGTACAATACTAAAACTTAATTTAAAGTGTTAATGACTTTTGAAAACCTTGAATTATCTCCAGAAGCATTTTTTGAATTTACAAGGTTACGAAGTAAATGCAGTCAGACGGATAATAACCTTATTTTTTTAAAAGTCGTATAAAAATAGCAATACCTACTTTTTTGCGACGGACTTAAAACACTTGATACTATCTTTGTTTTTGTTTTTACTAACTGGATGCAACTGGTTATGGGTAGATTTATCAGATTAATACCTGTATTAACGATAAAAGATCTTTACGTAGTAAATGTATCGTATTAGGCACAATTTCATTTTTGATTGATTTTTCGGGGGTCACATATAATAAGCTAAGTATACTATATGTATTTCTACTTGGCTAATTAGCTAGCATTCACGTTACCTCCGCTTGCAAAAGCTTCGATCGCAAGAAAAGTTTCTTAATGGCTATGTCTATTACGTACTTAGTAGTTGCAGTTTTTATTTTACTATAAGTATTGATTTGATAGGTACAATCATCACAGGCATAGGTAAATATTATAGGTAATTCCAATTCGTGAAGTCTGACATTCTGTTTACGATTGTAGTACATGGTTTTATATAGGTAAGTAGATTGAATTAACATACGAATGTTTACCTACGTTCAAATTCCGCTCCGTGAATATACAATTTCCAAATAATAATAATAA